GCATAGAGAAATTTGCATGCGATACCTTCAACACCAATCGATAGCTCTCGAGGAGTAGATATCGATAGATCTTGAGATCGTCAAGATTGGACACCGGATGGCCGAGATACGGGTCCTTGAAATTTGGTTGATTTCTTAGAACTTTTCCTGAAATCCCATACATTTTACGCATCTGTGACAATTTTGCCAGTTGATTTTTGAGCGCCCGGAGAATGTTTTGTCTAAATGTATCGGAATTCGGAAAAAGTTCTAAGAAATGGGCCAAATTTGAAGGGCCCGTATCTCGGCCATCCGGTATCCGATTTTGATGATCCAAACATCTATCGATATCTACTCCTCGAGAGCTATCGATTGGCGTTAATGGTATCGTATTCAAATGGCTCTATGCAGAGATAGCACGCTAAATATCTTTCTCAAGATTTTATCAAAAACTTCCCAGAGCTGTAACTCGACGGCGAGCTACTTTGGGGACCAAATCAGGTTTTTCCCAAGTAGCGCGTCCCAAAATCTATCAAATCATGTATCGAAAGTGAAAATTCGACGTTACTGCGGCTTTCTAGAGCGCTTTCAAAAAATTGTGACAGGACTTATCTACCAACCTGATATATAACAAATTTTTTATCTATTCGAGATTACCTTTTCTTAATTTATTTTTCTTGTATCTCAGATTTTTGCCCCGCTCTCTCGAGGGGGCTCCAAAAATTAGTGAATACTCATAATTGTTCGTGTGCACGGAAATCTTTAGTAAAAGGCGAAAGATTTTCTCGGTCAAATGCACCCGAACCAGAGGTGACTGAAGAGCAAGTTGGTGGTTGATATGGCGGGACAGTGGGCCAGGCGGGGGGCGAGTGGGATTGGCAGGTTGCTGTCAGTGCAAGGGTCAATTGAATTTTGCAACAATTCGCAATGATTTCGGCTAACTCTCCGATGAGTTATCAATCAAATGACAAGCATTTATGACATTTTATTCTTTACCGCTAAACCGATGCAATTCAATCCTTTATTCTCGGCTTTTTGACTGGTATAAGCTTGGGCTAACAATGCACCTTACCGTTTCTGATTTATGCAAGGATTCCGGCCTTCCTTCGTCATTGCAAACCCTCGCTATCTGACCCCTGCAACCGCGTGAACCCCTTGAAAAAGCGGGGGGACTATTTACAGAAGGGCCTGCCGAGGTGATAAGCCTTTGCCGGATTTTTCACGTTTGTTGCTTCTTAAATTGTTTCTGCCATAAAGGAGATCGACATTGCATAATAGTATCGATTTATTAATCGTAGATGCCTTGATTCCATTTTTGTTTTTGATTTTTGTATCTCTATCTCTTGTACAAATTTTACTTGCAGGGTATGAACCACGAGGATGAGCCTTATCCCCTTCACAAGGCCGCCTTCTTCAACGACACCCGAAAGGTGTATAACTTGATTAAGAAAGGTATGCATTACGGTTTCATTAATCTACTTAATGGTCAATCATAATCATGTTTTTGATGGTATAATAAATATTATATATTACATTTAAGGTGCCGATCTTTATCAACAAGATGCGCACGGTAATACCGCGCTTCATATTGCGACCATGCTTGGGCATAGAGGTAATTTTTCACTCTAAAGTTAGAGGCTATTAAGTAGTAGTATAACATTTAATAGACACCTATAATCAATTCAAATTGTAGAAGTTACTGCCCTTCTCTTGGTTCACAATTCCCCGGTGAAAACGAAAAATGGCGACGGCTGGAATTGTTTGATGGAGGCGGTCAGCTATGGGGATCGGCAAATAAGTAGGTTTTGTAGTAGTATATTTACCCTATTAAATAAGAATTTAGTCGTTTTTAAGCTATCAAATATAAATATATTTTTAGTCACCGAAATGCTGCGAAAGCTCAAATCCCAACAACGAGAGACGCTCCGCTCCGGCGGCCGCACATCGCAAAGGTGCTGCGGGATCTCGGCGATTTTTATTTGGAGTTGAAATGGGATTTTCATTCGTGGAGTGAGTCTTTAAAAGTATAATAGTGTAATTTGGTATATTCTATATCTTAAGTTATATTCCTTACTTTTCCAGTCCCCCTCCTCTCCCGTATGCTACCCTCTGACGTGTGCCGGATACACAAACGAGGCACGAAATTGAGGATGGATACCACTTTGGTGGATTTTAATGAAAAGTTAGTTTTTTACAATAGTTTAAGGTTTAATGGATATACAAAGAATATTTAGAAAGCAAAATTCAAGCGAAAATTATGTTTTTAGGTCCTGGGAACGCGGGGATATCACCTTCCTCTTCGACGCTGAAGCCGAAACCCCGGAGCAGCAACTCGTTGTGTTGGATAATAAATTAAAGGTATAAAACTTATACTTTTTAGTGTATGTAAGATAAGTTAGCTCAAAACAATTTTTTTAGGTCTACCAACGAATCCGCCATGAAGAATCAGAATGCGAGGTCGATGAGGAGATTGACGTTTTAATGTCCTCAGATATTGTATCCGCGTCGGTACGTTACGATACTAAATACGTTATAGTTTTCGGGGGTTTTAGATGTCCACAAAAACCATCTCTTTCTCCCAAGCTCTGAGTGGCTGGGTGTTCCGGCACAACAGGGAAGAGCAAATCGGCGAGTACCACACGAATTTCTACGTGGTCGAGGGCATGAATTTGATAACAAGAAAGAGGTATAGAACGCTATCTAGAAAAATATTATCGTTATTTAGAAGAGAACACCTCTCCGCCGACGACATTAAAAAGAACAAGTCGTTTATGCAGAGTTTAGCTACCGGAAACGCGGTGGCGGATGATGATTTCAAGGTATGACGCTGGGGAGGCTAGCAGAGATTATTTAGGAAATTTTTCCAGCTTGATGCTCAGTTAAATCTACCTGTTTCTAGAGCTTACAACACCGCAAAAGTCTCCCACCACCAGGAAGAGTGCCAACAACCTGGGAAGAATATGCATCAGCCGCTGCGGGTCTGGCTCCTCCCTTGGGTCGACCTCAGGTTGTCAAGTTCAACCAAAAGCAGTTCAAGGCGCTGATTGGCATGGTGGGCGCATTCATAAACATAATTTCCATACCTAATTCCGCAAGAAAAGCAACCAAACCATATTTTTTTTAGAGCGAAGACTTCCCGTTAGATGTCGATATTTTGCTTGACATCCTGGAGATCCTTGCCCCATTCAAGCACATCCATAAACTACGCCGATTCTGTGAAGCGAGATTGCCTCCGGGATTCCCTGTACGAGTCGGTAAGTACTTTCAATTTATTGAAATTTGTTGCCCCGCTCTCACGAGGGGGGACTCCAAAAATTAGCAACTGTGAGGCAAACTAGAAGTCATTGAGGATACGCTTGCAAAGCGCCGTAGAGTCCGGGGGGGTTGCTTGTAGACTCGCCGCCCCACCCGCCCCCCACCTGGCCCACTGCCCCACCTAATCACCTACCCCCTCGCTTCCCTTCTTACCTCTGGTTCGTGTGCATTTGACCGAGAAAATCTTTCGCCTTTTACTAAAGATTTCCGTGCACACGAACAATTATGAGTATTACACAATTTTTGGAGCCCCCTCGAGAGAGCGGGGCAACACATTCGAATACAAACTCATTAAATCCATGTTTTCAGAAATCCCTCTTCTACCGACAATCTCGGCCAAGGTTACGTTCCAAAAGTTCTCGTTTGTCGAAGAAATCTCGGAGAAACTCTACCGTATCCCCGCATCTTACCGAGAGGATAATACCCGGTTCCCGGATTTGTAAATTTATACAAAACTTTTATTATTTAGCGTTTTATTGCTTTTATGCAAATTAGTAGTTTCCACATTCCCAGATCTAATATGACCAAAAATCCCCAAAAAGGCTTACGTAAAATGGACTTAACCAATTCCCCCTTTGCTCATCTATTATTCTTCTCTTCCAAATTGGGTCTACGGGTATCGTGCGGTTAGTTTTTTAACGTTTATATTCTTAATCCCCTTAAATAATCATGGTTATTCCATCAATCACTTTTCTACGCTTTCTGATTCGATTTTAACGTTTTTCATGGGTTTTTTGGCTCAAAATCTACACCAAACCAACGCAAATAAATTCTTTTATGCATTTATTTTATGAAAAAAATACATTTATTGCTCTACACACAAAAATTCATACTATAATATGTCAAGAAATCGTATGTTAATATGGAGCGTTGGATGATGTTTGGGAAGATGTTAGAATCGGTGATCGGAAATTGGTGAGAACTGGCGCTAAAAATTGGATTTTTTTTGGACAATTTGTATTCATTTAGATAGATTTCGAAATTCAATCCAATTTTTAATACGAAATATACAAAATTTACAGCATTATTTAAGACACAAGATAATATACAGAATCTCCTAGTCTACCAGTACAGATCAGAAAAGGGATGGGGGGCCCGGGAAAATGCAAATTTCCCGGGTGGCAAAACTCATTGAGCAAGTGGCATTTCGATAAGTGAACCGCGCCCGCGGAAACGCTCGGCTCTCACCGGCTAGCTAGCAAATACCATTTGGGGCATAGAGAGAGAGAGAGAGAGAAAGAGAGAGAGAGAGGGCGAGAGAGAGCGAGAGATCTGAGCTTGAGTCTAGCCCAAGCTTGAGATCAAGCTGAAGTCAAGCCTAAGGCTAAGCCTACGTGTAAGCCTAAGCCCAAGACCAAGGTTTAGTCAGTCCTAAGCCAAGGCTAAGCCTATTCCTAAGCTTAAGCTCAAGCTCCTGCTCAGTCTCAGGCTCAGGCTCAAATTCAAGCCCAAACTCAACCTGAGCTCCCTTTTTTCCTCAATCCCCTTATTTACACAAACTACTTAATAAAGCCAAGCAGCTTGAGAGGAAGCGCTTCGCGGGCTGTGCGTCATGTTGAACTGGGGCAAGCTAGTTCAAGACCAAAAAAAACATCGGATAAAGTGGAAATTCCGGGGAGCAAGTGATTAGGATAAAGTGGATTTGTGGTGATAGTATTGCGATGTACTTCGTTCAGTTGATTTTTGAGGAATCGCTACCCAGGCTAGGCAATGGAAGGGTTTAGGGTGGTGATTTCTTCCGCGTCGTCCTCCGGTCCCTGCGTGCCTGCCCGGGATTCCTGAAAACGAGCCGATTTGTACCATCCAAACCTATATTACATTACTTTCAGACCAATCTATGTATCTTAATTCAATTTTAGAATTTTTCGAACTTTTTTGGAGTTTTATCGAATGGCGTTAAAGGGATTTTGTAAAAACTTAGAATAATCGAAAAAAGCGCATGTAAAAATCATTAATGTCATTAATCATTAATCATTTTGGCTAGGAATAAGTCTTCACGATTTTATGGAGAAGGTAATAGACCAAAATCGAGTATACCGATCCGGCTTATGACTTTAAGGAAAGCTAGCAAAGATCGTTGTTGAAATCCGTCAAGAGCGGTCCGGAGAGCGCCCTGCCCACTAGCCCCCCACCTGGCCCACTGTCCCCTATAATCACCTAGCCGCTCCCTCGATAGCTACCTCTGGTTCGTGTGCATTTGACCGAGAAAATCTTTCGCCTTTTACTAAAGATTTCCGTGCACACGAACAATTATGAGTATTACACAATTTTTGGAGCCCCCTCGAGAGAGCGGGGCAAAATTTGAATAACCTTTTTTACGTTGGTGTTCATTAAAAAGGTATATTCTTCCCACCTCAGCGATAGTTCCAATGCCAAGATGGCCAAACATAATCTCTGATGGCTTGGCGGCCATCGTGGAGACCATTATCGAACGTCTGGCCGTCAGCATGCGCGCTGAAAGTCAGGAGATACATTTTATTAAGTTTTAGATGGTTATAGAATTTTACTGCGTATCTTAATGTAAGTTCTTAATGGTATAATCAGCCTAATCCCTTACCTGTTGCCATCTTAATTTTTTCCTTGTTCTTCCTCTCGTCGGCATCGACGAACCAGCAGCAGAGGTACCGTTTGAGGAGGTCGCGGAAGAGCTGCAAAAATGGCTCAATTTTTCTTGTTTTGGAGATTTTACTTTGCGAATAGAATTTTCGAAAAGTATAATCATTGTTTTCCAAGAGCTTTGTGGTTTCCGAAGCCCTAGAATTTTTTCTCAGCAGAATTCGTCCCCAAATCCGGCGAGTTCGGAAAAAAAAAATGGGTGGGCGAGGGGTCGAGCGGAAATTACACGTGGCGTTGGGATTTTCGGTAATCTGAGCTCGGCTTGTTTTCTTTGGTTTTGGCGGAGGGCCAAAGAATATTTCGAGCTTTTTCGAAGCCTAAGCTGAACTAAACCTAAGCTACGCCTAAGCCAAGTCGAAGCTAAGCCTAAACTAACCTTAAGCTCGCCCGAGTTTAAGCCTAATCTAAGCCTAATTAAGCCCAAGCCAAGCCTAGGTCACAGTACGAACCCCCATGGCTTCACAATCAGCATCGAATCCCTAATTTGCACCTAAAAACCCAAGCTGCCGGATTCCTCGTGATCAAAATTTGCCCCTATCATTCTGACATTTTTCAAACCCCTAGTTATTCTAGAGTTCTGCGGGTTTTTTTAGGGAAAGCGTCAGGTGGCGATGAGTTGCTGCGTCAGGGCCAACATCTGCCCTCTGTCATGCCATGCCCGGGGCAAGCGTTTTTTAGAAGATGGAGCACGTATCAGCACAAAGATTGGTTTGGGCAGTGTCACAAGTATGGTTTTAGACGCAGTTTTTTAAGGAAAAACACCCTTGAATCGTCCCTTCAATTTTTCAGCGTTTTTGTGGGAAACACGGCAATAAATTGTTAGAGTCCGATAACTTTAGTCTAAAATGACTTGAAAAGCTTCGAAAAGGTTACAGTCAGCTGGAGAATAGCAAAATTCTTAGAAACTAGCCTTGAGAAATCGCTACAGTTAAAATGGCTAGAGGCGAAAATAAAATAAATTCGTGACGATACCTTCTTGCATACTGTAGCAGCCAAATCCTAATTTAACAATTGGCCAAAAATGCGGCAGTTACTGCTGCCGCATTTGTCGTTTTATTCTGTAAAAATCGGGCTAAATTATCGCGTTTCAGAAACTGCAAAATTCAAATTTTTGAGCTTTAAAAAACCCCCGAGTTACCGTAGTTTCCGTCGCGCTATTTTTCGGTTTCAAAAATCTCTTCTAAAGAAGAAAAGCGTGGAGACGGTTCCGGTAGCCTAGGATATGGCCAACTCAAAAGTGTGGCCCCGAGAAAAGCAATAAGAATGAAGAGACAAGGGTGGCATCCGAGGGGCTTTTTGAAGGGGCCCACGCCTCCTCCTCCGCACGCACATCTCCATGGCCACCGACAATGCCACCAAGGGCGGGCCAGCCCCCATGTTGTATACAGAATTAGAAGACGAAGAAGAAGGAGAAGAAAAGGAAGACCCCCGAGTCTCAATCAATTGCCGGAGGGATACGGTAGCGAGGAAGGCGCGTTTAAGGCGGGAAGATACGGGGTTTGAGCAAAATCTGGGAATCTCAGAATATTGGCTAGAAAGCAAAAATCTGCTATCACGATCCCTTTAAATAAGAAAGCTTGGATTTATTTGGTTCGCAGGAGAGCTTAATGGGACCGGAAAGCGCAGAAATCGACCCTTTCACCTGACTGGGTCTCGACAGCTACGCCGCTTGGCAAAAACCGATATTTCGGTCATAACAAATTTTTGCCGAAGTCTAAGCCTGAGCCAAAATAGCGGGAACAGCAAAAATGGCAGAAAATGGCAAAGATATAAAAAACCGCTTCGCGGTCCTTCCGAAGTCAGAGCGTTTGGTTTTAGAGGGAGCGTGACAGCAGATTCTCTCGAAATTTTGCCAATTTTTTATGCAACGTGTTAAATTCCAAGGAGAAAAAGTATAAAAAATCTAACCCAACCCAACCCAAGCCCATCCCACCAATGGCCTCCTCCCAATTTCCGGAAAAGCCTCGATTTCGGCATTGGGAACGGGCGACGGAAAGAGAAAGGATACCAAGGCCCCTAGCTCGTAGCGGCCCAGTTTTGAGGGAAGTGTATGGAATCGGAAATGTCCCGAAAAGATGGAGGCGAAGTGGCGGCTCCGCCGGACACTTCCCCCCCCCCTTTTGGCCTACCGCTCCTCCTTCCCCTCCTCCTCTTGCAGTGTGAACAGATGGGGTGGGCCCTCTACTGGGCCCTCCCGAAAAGAGGGCCACTAAACGCCAAATTCTGCCAATATTCCACATACTGGTGGTTTTTGGGCCACGACTGGGCCCTCTTTGGCCCTTCCCGGGGCCTCGGGGCCGCCGAGTAAACAAGTTTTTAGCATTGCCCTTCCGCGCCAAAAGAGATGAAGGAGTTCGCTCGGGAGGAGCGCTTTGGAATTTTCTCGCTGGGGTAAATTATGGGGTCTATTTTGGGATCAAGGAGTGGTAAATTGCCACTGGTAAATGAAGGGCTGAAAATTATTGCACCGGCAGGCTGGCAGTGGTAACTTGGGAACTGCCATTTTTGGAGTTTGGAAGACTCCTGGATCTCTCTCTGGCTATCTCTCGCTCGCTCACTCTCTCGCTATCTCTCTCTCGCTCTCTCGGCAAGCCATTCTGCCCAATTTTCTTTCCTAAAGATTCTCTGCTAGCGCGCCCAATCAGAATTGCAGGATTTCTCAAAGAGCGGTCAAGCAGATGAACATTCTTAAAAAAATCTCTGCTAGCACTTCCTAAAGGGTCACTGCTCGCCTGCCTTCAATATTACATCAAAACTACCGCTAAAATTGCTAGAAAACGTCAACATTTACGAAATTTCCATCAGCGTTGCTGTGGAAAGTGAAAAGTAAGGGGAGAATGGCAGTGTATGTATGTGGGTCTCCTCCGCCCCCTTTGAGGGTGAAATGGCGTATCGTTTTCAACGGCCCTTCCGATAGGGAGAGAGAGAGAGAGAGTGAGAGAGAGAGAGAGAGAGAGGCCTCGGATTTTCTTTCACCGGCCCTGGGGCCCTCCGCTCGGGGACCCAAGGAGGCCACCGAGGGCAGAAGGCTGCAGTTTCCTGGCTTGGGTCTGGAGCACCATACATCAGAAAAAGCACAAAAGTATTTTTTTGGGGTCCTAAGACCTTTAAAGGTAAAAATGACTGCTTTACAGCGATTTCAAAAGTCTATCGAATACAAATTCTTACCTGCGGAGATGCACAGATGACGATCACCACCATCCATCCGAACAGGATGGCCAAGCCGAAGCCGAAAACTCGAAAAGATTCCTTGTCCATCCAGGGGTGAGAAAGCGCCTTTGCAACGGCTGGCTAGCCGATGGCCATAGGCCCAACAGGGAGTGGTAGCTGCAAAGGTGTACTTTACTTTAATTTTGTAAATACTGTAACCTGAAAAAGAAAGTAAAAAATTTTGTTGCAAAGACTGTAAAAAGACATCTCGTAAAAAATTAAAAATAAATAAAATAGATCAAGAAACGACAATTAAAGTCCAGAACTCCATAAGAGAGAAGACTGCCGAGGCTTAGGTTAGCCTCTGCTTAAGCTAAACCTAAGCCCAGGCCTAAGCCTGCGTCTAAGCTAAGCCTGGGCCTACGCCTAACCCTAAGCCTAAGCCTAAGCTAATTCCCAATTCTAAGTATAAACCTAGGCCTAAATCCAAGCCCACACCTGTCCCTAAGCCCAAGCCCAAGCCTAAGTATGAGCCTGAGCTTTAGTTTGCAACCCAAGTAACCAAAGCTTACAGTGCTTCTCCCACTTAAACCCAGGCTTCCTAGAAAAAGTCACCCAAAAGGCTATACGACCCCGAAAATCTTCGCAACTATCAAAATCCGGGGCCCCCGCGAGCATCAATCTGAGGGCCACGTGTGCCCCCCAGGGCATCCCATCCCATCCCTTCAATGATAAATAATTTCTCCAGCAGCAGCAACCGGAAGGGGAGGCAGAGAAAAAGCAGAAGAAGAAAACGTCCAAAAAGCCAACAGAAACACCCGAGCCACCCCCCGCGAAAGGATACGTTTCGGGTTTCACAAAATACCCGCAAGGGGCGCCCGCATACGTAGTCGAGAACCGGAAAACAGGCGTTGACTCCTGCCTTTTTTGGCTAATCTTTGAGCCGGTCAGCTCGTGGTGCTGAAAATTGAGCGCTGGTGGCCAAATTGGTGGTCTGAGTGCGCAAATCCTGGAAAAACTAGACGAAAAGAAAACAGGAGAAATATAGGTGGCGGCCTCCGTAAAGCGTATGCTTACGGAGTTGGACGTATACAGTGTACACCATACACCTAGTTACGCAAAAAGGTAGTGAAAATACGGATTTAGAGGAAGAGAGCATACAGAATTTTGAGGAAGAGAGCGAGAGGAGAGAGAATGAGAGAGAGAGAGAGAGAGAGAGAGAGAGAGAAGGATGGGGAGGGCGAAGGAGAGAGCGAGAGCGTGGGAGAGACAAAGAGATAGCGATAAAGCGATATGCAGAAGCAGTATGCGAGAAGTATGTTTTGGTTTTCGGCAATCTGGAAATACAACACAAAAAGGGCGTCCTGCTTACTTGCCAACCCCCTTAAAACCCGCACCACCGGAATGCGCAGCGCTGAAAATGCTGAAAATGCTTGGGTCGTCGTCCGGCTGGCGATGGCGGTTGCCCCGGGAAAACGGGCCTAGCGTAATAATCGTGGCAGTCATCCGCGAGGTCGCTGCCTCCCCTACTCCCCAAAAATCAGAACCCTAGACCGGAAATCCAGGGACGGCAAAAAAGGAGAATTCCGTAGATTGAAAATTCTCTGCGAGCGGCAATATTTGTTGAAGCGGAACACATGGGATATGGGGGGGGGGGGGTGGCAGTTCGTGGTCGTTTGTTTTCCGGGAGTGGATAGGGGCTCTCGGAAATGCAACGATTCTTCCGGTGATTGGGCTCCGATGGGTAAATCAGGGGGAAGGTTGGGTAAAAGGTATAATGTAAAAACGTACTTAGTTTCCGGATCGATTCACATCATTATCGTATCATGTCGAAAATCCTCGATCAGCTGGCAAAGCTAAGGGATAAAAAATCCAGGACCAAAATTTTTTGCAACAAGCGAAGGTTTCGGGCACATTAAAAACTTTGATCAGCTATCGTGTGACCAGAAATCATGATTTCGACGTGGATAGAAATGCCCGGTCCTCGAGCTCTCAACTACCCTGGGCTCCTTTCTACACTCCGATTCTGGGTGCTCTCATTAGTTTCTCTTTTTTGGTTATTTTCATCAATATAAGCCGTCGAGCACCAATTCAATTGCACCGGGCTACAATGTACAATCGCGCATGTGGGTAAAAATGTACTCATAAAAACAAGGATTTGCGCAAGATATGATAATATTGGAAGGAAACTCGTGTGGTAGTATCATTAACAGGTATCCTAGTGTCAACCGAGTTACAAGTTACAATTACTTACGAAAATTTCCTTCCGAATCCTATGCATGATCAATCCAGTAGATTATCCTTACCGAAAAACCGAAACCGAAAGTCACTACCCCGAAATCGTTTACCCCGAAAAATAATAGGATTGTTGTTCCCGTAAAATTCCAGTTTTCATTCGGATTTCCTATGAAATTCATGCAAATTACTTCCGGGTAGCGACTTCACACCGGATTTTACCTTTAGAACGCATTTAAAAGGTTTCGCCGTCGACGTTTAATCGTGACAAATTGTGAAGGTCATTGCCGAGGCGAACAAGAGTCGAAGGTGCATTTCCGGCATAAAACAGGTGGGAGAAGCCGCTCACTGAGATTACTCAGTCTCAAAAATCCATCGAAAATCAGGACCCGGGGCTCGACAAACCTACTAATGCCGAGCGGTGCGTACTAAAAGCAGAGCCAAGGAGCCCTGGCTCTCTAGCTCTAGCCCCGTGTGGCCCACGGCACAAAAAAAAGAGTTTGTGAGTGGTGGAAGGGGAAGGAGGGAGGGAAAAGAGCAGGAATACTCCCCCTCCTCTTCCTCCCCTCCTTTCTTTTCCACCATCCGCACATTCCATTGGGAGACCAATTCGTGGAAATAAGCGGGAATTATGGGCCGTCGACGGGTGGGGTGGGTCCCTTCTTTGGCCCCCTCCGGATCTACGTAGCAATTGAGGCCAACCGGAGCGAGAAGGCTCGATACGCACACACGACCCCGTGGCTACGAATATTTTATGATCCCTTAGCTCGGAAAAAGGAGGGCAATGACCTTGGATTTGCAAGAAGCGAGTTAAAATGAATTCGAAGAGTAACCTAAGCCTAAGCCTAAGCCTAGACCTAGCCTAAGGCTATATAAGTCTAAGCGAGACCCAGACCTAAGCTAAGCCTAAGGATAAACCTAAGCCAAAAGTTAAGCCCAGGCTCAGTAGAGCCCAAGTCTACGCTAAGCAAGCCTAAGTAAGCCTAAGGCTTAACCTAAGCTTGGTCAAAGCCGAATCCAAAGCCTAAGCATGAGCTAAGCCTAAGCCCCAACCTAAGCCTACGTATAAGCCAAAGCTAAACCTGAGTTAAGCCTACGGATAAGCCTAAAACTAAAATTAGGCCTAGGCTGAGCAAAAACCTAAGGCTTAGTCAACGCTAAGTAAGCCTAAGCAAGCACCATCGTCCGATCTTTGGCAACACCCGCGATCCATCCCGAACCGCCGTGGTGGTTTATGGTAATTACTCTCCCTTGGGCCCTTCCCCACCACCCAAGAAGGGGCCAAAACAGAGCATAGGCCGCCAAAAAACACGCAGACACAAATGCCGCCGAGGCGCCAAGGAATTGCCGGCGGCGCCGCCGGCAATTTCCATTAATAAAGGCAAGGCTGGGCCCAGGAGCCTGGGGCTGTGGCCGCGGAGAGGAATGGCGCCTCAGGGGACCGATCGGGGGCCCCAGCCTTAGGACCCAACAGGGCCCATCCCCTCCACCACCACCCCGACAACAACCATCATTTTGACGGAGATCCACGGGTCCACTGGGGGGCTCCAGCGGACCCAATGTGAATGGACAGACAGAGAGGAGAACAGATAGATAGAGCGGACAGCTTGATCCTCATCCTCGGGGATATCCGAGTCTCTCCTCGCTCTCTCTCTCTCTCTCTCGCCGGGGGCTCACACTCACACAATTACCCTCAAAACACACACCAGCATATGGTCCACCACTGAGAAATGGCCAGAGAAATGCAGGTCGGGAATTTTATGGGGATTTTGGGTTCGGGAATGAAGACTAATGTGTGCTTTTTGACGTTTAGGCCTGAACTTCAGGGCTGTTCGGATGGCAATTGAACCCACTTCGGGAGCCTAAGCTAAGCTAAACCTAAGCTTAAGCTAAACCTAAGCCTAAGCATAAGCTAAGCTCGCGTACCTTAGCCTTTTGGCCTTTACAAATTTTTGGAAGCCAGAAAATTTGCTCCAACGAATATATTTTTTAAATATAAATTTATTTCTGACGCTTTTTACCAAAACATCACGAAGCACTGCTCCGGTGGCTTAAAAACCCATAAAAAGCCGGTATGCCGGATCCGTATTGTTTGTTTATTGTTGGAGCTATCATGCGGCGCCATTTTCCTTTCCCGCTCCTTTCCCCCCAGCTGGTGTCGGTTGGCAACTATTGATCCCGTTTTTCACGCGGTATTCCAGAGAAATCATCGTACTTGCTATCTATTAATAGCTATACTTGTTTCTAAGATTACTACCCCTAATAGTTTCATTAATTTTCCGTAATAAAATACCATATTAGGCGAACTAGGAATGGAATGGGACGTTGTTGCCTTTACAGTCCGATATAATCAACCGCGGAAGGATGAGATTGAGCATAGTAAGCTTTTTACGAGAGTATTGTATTTTATGCTTTTTCGTAAGTGATAACATACTTTAACAATTTTCCGGTATTCTTTGAACGGAAATTGTCCGATGGAATAACATAGCGTAATTGGTTACGCTAGGAAAATATCTAGGTTTTGTGATATTGCTTCTTAGGATATCTTGGATTAAAAAGAGCAAAGAATGTAAGATCACCACGTATTATGTGATGTTAAGTTTATAACTACCTTAAAAATCAATTGAAAAGATGATTTTTAGCCTTAAAATGGCTGCAAAAATGTGGCGTTTTCTCGACCGATCTCCTGCTTGTAATTGAAGACCCATGTGCGGATATTGGATCTGGAGGATCGACGCTGAATGCCTTATTGATTTTGGTAAAAAAAGCAGCACATAATGTAAAAAATAACATTAAAACAGGCCGAACAACTCTGTTCGTCTCGCGGCTACACCGTGCTCACCGAAGATGTCCTCCGTGGGGCCAGGATTTTGATTTTGCATTCGGTAACTTTTCAAGAAAGGTTTTCGAGTTTTAATATAGTTTTCAGCTACTTACTTAAATCCTAATATAACTTTAAAAAACTTATATAGAAAGGATATGATCTTTTTCAAAAAGGCAAAGAACGGCAGGTCCGAAAAGCTCCAAATTTCAGGGCAGAAAGTTAAGAAAATGAAGGGAAAGAGTGAATTTTGGTGAGCTGACTGGGTGCCATAAAACTCAAAAACAACTGTCAGTCTTTCGCATTCAGGGCCCGTCATCCACGGAATTCCCGCAGGGCCCAGCTTTTGCCTCCCAGGGATCCCTCCGCCAACTCGAGAATGGAAATTTTGTTGCTGAGATGCCAATCGTGCAGTTGTTCGAGAATGTGAACTGGTAAGGAGCAGGAATACATATTCTTAGCAAAAAGTTGGTCTTGTTATTGCGTACCCCTGAGACACTAGTTGGCCTCACCCACTCGCCCCCCCACCTGGCCCACTGTCCCCTATAATCACCTAGCCGCTCCCTCGATAGCTACCTCTGGTTCGTGTGCATTTGACCGAGAAAATCTTTCGCCTTTTACTAAAGATTTCCGTGCACACGAACAATTATGAGTATTACACAATTTTTGGAGCCCCCTCGAGAGAGCGGGGCAAAAACGGATAGTCAAATCAAATTAAAATTTCGGAAATAGACCTTTAGCTACCCTTTAGTCTAGCTCGAGGCCATGATCCTCTTACATGGGTGCTCGGTACAGAAGCTTATTGGAAACTGGACAAGAATTGGGCCGCGCTGAAGCCTGATGCTTTATCAAATCATCATATCACGGCTTTTACACTCCAGGTTTGAAGCTTTCAAAGTATCATATTTAAGGGTTGGAAAAGCCAAAGCCCTTCAGTTCTGAAACTTTAGGCCGACGACGAGTTGGCTCGTCGCCACGGCGTCTACGATTGTGATCAACACAACTTTGTGATAGACATCCATTTCCGGGACCCTCCACTTCGGAGCTTTCATATGTAATCAGGAACTTACTTAGAACGTACTTACCTAGGGTTTAGCCTATGCTTAGGTTAGATATAGGCGTATACGTAGCATAGAACGTACTTTCCTGTGGTTTAGCCTACACTTAGGTTAGCCTAAGGCTTACGCGTAGGCAAACCGGATTCATTTTCCAGGTTGTGTCTCTCGGCTATTTGTATACCTCCCGCCATATCCACCGCCCTCCTCTCACTCCATACCACATATCCAATCTCCTCCTCAACTTATTACGGGCTCGACACGGGCGCCATTGGATTTAAGGTATAGCTCCTCACCCTGCCAGAGCGCTATGTCCCTCCTTGCAGCTCTCTCTATTTTTCGACTTCATTCTCGCCGGCTGCTCCTCGCTAGAGCAATTCCTAGCTATGCCAATTGTCGAAGGGAAATGTGATACGCATCCGGTAAGTCTCTGCGTGAATCTTACGTTCAAAAACTTTAGGATCTAGTCAAAATGGCACGCCGTATGGTGCACCAAAAATTAGGCGGATATCGTACCCGAGTTGGTAAGCCGGATTTTGAAAGTTATCTCTCCAAAAACTACAATTTAGAATTCTTACCCATCGCTGTTTTCCATTATTTTGGTGATGATGGCAGAACCAAACAGAATTACTTGGATTATTGTTGTAAGCCGGAAAATATGGGGTAATTTTCATGCTGGACAAGCTAATGTAGTTTTTCCTTGGCAGAATGGATTTCATTGATCTGTTTGCCCACCGTTTTGAAGAACTGCTGCGCCAAGCTAATCAAATTGACGCAGAGGTAATGGTATACATTTTATGAAAATCGCTTTACAGGTACCCTCATTCCATGCTTATCTATCCCCAATGGCAAAAGCTGGTCTGAAATGGAGCTCGCGATGTTTAGACGTTTTCAAGAAATGTAAAAACGTATCTTTAATATGATTCCCATACCCTTAGTTGCCATCGAAAGTGACCTCAAGTATGTTAGCCGAGTTTTGACGCTTTGTGCCACCTATCTATCCTTGTTAGCCGAAGGCAAAGGGGGAGTACGGTAGGGAGGGTTTAAAAAATTAGCAACACTGTTCAGGTCGGGCCCAGCCGCAAACAGCGAATTTATCCCGGCACTGGAAATGCTCAAAGTCAAAATTACAGCTTAAATTCCAAATTTCCCTTCTTAGAATCCAAATAAGCAAACTGAGGGCCTAGAAAAACTCTTTGAAGTTACGACCGGATGGATAGACGAGAAAACCAGGATGATAAGAGCTGGTAACGCTCTTCAGAAGAAAAGTAAGAACTCGTTTTAGCCCGCCATCTCGAGGCGGCCGCCCAGGTGTTCGCAACCCGGAGGATTAAGGAAATTTGCATGCCGGTAAGTTGGTAGATAGTGTCGTAAAATTGCTAATTTTCGCTAGGTAGCAACAAAATATGTAGAGTGACAGTAACCTTGCAAAAACGGAGTCTTCCAGATGATTCCGATCCTGTCTTCCGCCGTGAAGAAGCCAGAGTTTAAGAAAGTTACGGTCAGCGCCTGCGCTCGCGTGGATTTGTATGGAGGATGGTAACGGCATCACCTTATCACAATATTACAAAAAATCAGGCTAGACACCCCGCCAATCACCCTCGACATTGCAAAAAGCGCTGTTGTTAATATGGCAATTACAGTCGACGGGAAGGTATGTATAGTACGCTCCTATACCTTAAGCAAATGGCGCCGTGTTTTTATGCCCTAGCCGCATTTCAGAAACCACTACACGCGTCTGTAGAACGACTCTCCGATATCAGTGGTTTGATCGTCGAGATATCTGGAGAAGAACAGCTCACCTTCGCCTCCGTCGAATCAATCTTCGAGTCACACGACAAGCCAAATAGGCCTGGTAATTTTAACATTTGGTAATTTCGATAAAACTTTCGACAACCCTTTAGGCTCTTTGATTTGTGCTTGTCTGGTAGCGACTGGCCTTTTCGATAATCCAAAACCCCTATCTGACATTCTACAAACCCATTACGGCATCCCTACTACCGGTCTGAAAATTATGTGCAAAAGTGAGCTACCTCACGGCTCAGGTGAGTGGTGGTATAAGTAAATACCCACAGTCCTAGGCTTGGGTACGAGTAGTATACTCGCTGGAGCGCTGTTAGCAGCGATATGGAGCAGTTTAGGAGTGGAATATACGCTAGATCACATCAATCATACCGTAATCCAAAGTTCGCCTTGTGACAATTTTTCTAGGTGCTTTACATTGAGCAACTTTTGACGACAGGTGGCGGCTGGCAAGACTCGATTGGAGGCCTCAGCCCTGGCCTGAAAATCACGCACTTTCAGACAGGTAACTGATTAATTCAGCGTAGTATTTTGCATACTTTTTAGAAGCTACCGATGGAAAGCACTTTTTGACAAAAACCATCGAATTACCAGAGAAGCTTCGTAGTGAAATGCAAAATCGTTTTGCCCTTGTGTACACGGGGAAGACGAGACTGGCCAAAAATTTGCTACAGGTAAGGAGATACAGTTACAGTACGATACAGCTACCGTAGCTGTTAGGAGATGCAGTTAGCTAAGGGAGTTACAAATTTCAGGAGGTAATCCGGAGCTGGGAAACCCATGATGGAGAAGCAGTCGAAGCGATTCGAACTATGCAAAGAAATGTGGATTTGACAGCTGATAAATTAGCTGAAGGCTAGTTTTTAACTGTTTTGAAAAGACCCTAAATATGTATCCTAATGATTAATATTACATAATCTTGAGTTTTAATACCCATAATTTTAGGCACCTTCCCAGTCACTTTTATCGCCGAGTATTTCGAGGCCAAGAAAAAATTGGCCGCCGGTTGTGAACCCGATACGGTCGGAAAATTCATCAAAGAGGCATGGGATAAGAAATTGGTTTGTAAAATTCATGATTTCAAAAGCAAAGAACTAGATTGAAATTGCATGGCCGGCCGGCGCGGGTGGAGGCGGCTTTTTCTATGTATGGCTACATGAACGAGCCTCGATTAGGGCACTAACGGAATTTTTGGAATCGAAAGACATAAGGTACGACAATCTAGCTTTCATAAACATTTTTGTTTAGTACCCAGGCTTCGCCGTTTCCCGAGCTGCTATTGCAGTTGATCCCATGCGCAAAGGGTTTGAGTAAAAATGTTCGGACTGCCGTTTGCACCCTTTATCAAGTGAATACACGTATTTTGTTGTTAAGTCCAAGTGGTTAGCGTCAGTGTAAAGAAAACATCTTTCACGATATAGCACACAAAGACGGCTTCGATCGACTCCTAGGCTACGTTTTCCTAAGGCACTATTTCAGGTGAAACCGAGCCAAAATCACCTGAGCTGACTCCAAAAATCGTCAATGAGCTCACGCATCTTCTCGAACTGTTCTATCCCATCTTCTTCAATAAAACTTGGCCGAATACCTGAAAAAATTCATCTTAGGTGAATGCGAGCACACCTTTGGTTCGGTTGAACCCTTCGTAATAATCGCTAATTTCTAATAGTATTGGTAGAATATCGGCGAGTTGCATGGGTACAAACCCCAGAAACGTAGCCCTTTCTGCGGAGTATACAATTTCAAAATCCTTGGTGATGAAGGTGCCGCGGAGATTAGAAAGGTAAAATTCGAACAGCAATGCCTCAACACCATCTGGCAGCATGACCAATTCGAAAAAGAAGACCCAGTCTTTTTCTTTGGATTGGATCTTGCGGACCAGCTCGGTAATCGGCTCGTATAGTAAATTCTCGAAGGCCAGCCTTCGCCATCGCGCAGCGTATTGCAAGGCGCTGGCCAACAATGTGTAGGCTTCGAGGAAATCGATTTGTTCGCTTGTCGCACATTGGTGATAGTGGATACGAAATTTCATTTCGGTTGTTTCTGGGAATCCGCCTGCGACCTGACAACCATCTCCTCGACATTCATGTGCAGGAGGAATTCCGTAGAGAAAGACATAATATCCCGCGAACGGAGGCGCAGGAAATGCGCGCAGTTTTTCTACTGCGTCCTTAAACTCTAGCATAGGCCGCTGCGACGTCATCAGGTTGTCAAGGGTAATTTCTAGGTACCGCGTGGCGCCCAAATGGTTTGCCCCCTCCGCCTGCGTGCGCTGATTCAATAGTTTTCTCTTAAAGGACGTCCGAGCTTCAATTAAGGCTCTGCGAACTTGTTCGCTGTTCAAGTGCTCCATCTCATTAGTGTAATAGTATGGTAGTTTAGTCTTCGTGAAACGGTTATCGTGCAGACGAGTTTCGGTACAATCTTTCCTTAGAAACACGCCAATATGGTTCAAGTGGAGCCAGGCATAGCGCGAGCCCCCAAGCGCTACGACTTGATAAATGAGTCTCTTTAGAAAAAGCTTTCCCAGTTCTTCCACATTCTTGATCACCCGATCGAGCGATGCCAAAATCTCGCCATTGGGAAGGGTTGCCTGATCGGTTTCGGTCAACATCTTAATCCCCCCCCCCCCCCCCCCCCCCCCCCCCCCCCCCCCCCCCCCCCCCCCCCCCCCCCCCCCCCCCCCCCCCCCCCCCCTCCATAGTTAATGGAGCGATTCTGTTGCCACGAGTCGACCCCAGATAGTAGATGAAATGAATCACGAAGTGCCACCGGTTTGTCCCCCACATCAATCTTGAGATCATCTGAGGTATAGAATTTTTCTATCTCTTCGGCAAGTTCGTATTGCTCCTCAAGCTCGAGCTTGGATAAGAGTGCAAGAAATTGATCGCAGATATACTTCCTGATCTTGTTAAAGTCTTTCGTCTCTACTCGCGGGATGCGCATCTCACTAATGGTCACAAAATCTGGGTCCGCCGAATCATCAATGAAAGGCAGCTCTGATAATTCTATTTCGCGGTTTTCGAAATAGGTCGTGGCCGCTAGTTTCTCTTTTAATTCCTGCAGCAGAATTTTCCGAGAATCAACCTTTTGTTGTTTTGGTTCCGTCGTGGTATTGGTTGTGGCATAGCCGAAAAAAGAATTTGTTACGGCCGGAGGTTGCATTTGATCGAACTGCATAAGAGCTCGATTCTTTTGTCCATCCAATCCAATAGGTAGCACAAGCCTTTTTTGATGCGGATTTGGATCTGGTTTGATGTCAAAGCCGGCGAACTCCTAAAGGACTTAAATTCGACTGCGTGTTTTTTTATTGTACCTTTGTCATCGTTTTACAGAGTTTCAGCGCAGCTTCCACACGAAACCGCTCACTTAACTGCTCTTGCGTGCATCTATAATATTATTATTGAGGGCACATACAGTTCCCCTACCCTACCACGAGCTCCCTTACGGTATTCAAATATGGAAGCTTATCCTCAAATATACGATCAACCGCTTGACTTCCGGGAGCACTAAACCACATTCACGGCAACCGTTTGAGACTTACCTTCGATTAATCATATCCAGCACCACCCATCCGGCTCCATAGATATCACATTTATGAGCGTCCTAGATAGGCTTGAGCCAATCTATAAAGCTTTAAGCTAACCTGATCATCAATCACTTCCTCCCTGAGAACCTCCGGCGCCATATAGCCGTGAGTCCCGCCTCGCCGGCTCGAACCGGCCTTCAAATCACGCACTATACCGAAATCGCCCAGTTTGACGATGTAGTCGTTGCCCGACAGAAACAAGCTAAAAACATAAAACTCCTTGACTGCTCTTACTTTTCCGGCTTCACATCCTGATGCACAATTTTCATATCTTTAACGTATTCGAGAGCCCTGAACAGCTCGGTGGCCCATTTGCAATCGTTGCAACCGAATATATTAAAGTGTGATCTTTCAAAACTAAAAGACGTCTCGGTAATCTAAGAGAACTACCGTCTAGCAGCGAACCGTGCTCGCAGTATTCCATAAATAGTAAAAACTCCTCGCGGTCGACCACAGGATAGTGACTTGGGCAGTCATAATACCGGACTATATTTTCATGCGAGAGTTCCTAAAGAGATACCTAGACAACTGAATAAAAAGCTATATGCCTTCAGGGTTCGCAGCTCTTGTAAATAGCCGGCATAATCATCTGCCCGTAAAGCCTTCTTCATAACCATCGGCCTATATGGTCGTTTTCTTGCCGCTCAAATCAGACTTACGGATCACCAGAGATCAGCCACACTTCACCTTGTCCACCTCTACCTAGCGATTGCTTCTCCATGCTGAAATTTGGAAAATAGCGTTGGCCTTTGAATGAAACTCTAAAAGCAAGAATGACAGGGCCCAACTGATGCAAAGCAAGAAATCGAGATAGCAGTGTTGGGAAGCCATTACCTTGCACAAGAATTTGCGCTATCGATTTATTGCCTCTGCCGGCAATACAACGGCTGTTTTTGATGTGACAACTGTTAGAGGTATTTATTCAAACAGTTCTCTTAATTTTTAATTGCTACCTGTCTGGTTGCGCTCTTTTCGAGCTGCGCGTGACGGGTTGTATTATTTAAAGACAGTTACAGCGAAGCGGCTTTTCAACCCTGGTTGACTAAAATAAATTTTTATTATCGCCAAAAGAACACACGGAAATTTGGCAAAATTGCCATTTGTCGCCTTATAGTAAAACCTTTATTGGACCATTTCGGAAGAGGTGTATACACGCTGGGTATTTTCGAGCCTTATTTCCATCGTGCATCATCAAGACACAGAACAACCCGTGGAACTCGGCGATATACTCGGTTCGGCTGTCCTAAAAAAATTGGGGTAGGGCATTTCCGATTTACGTGATCCGCTTCCAAAAATCGCCAACAAGCCGTTCCATCACTTTGTCATGGGCATTTATTTCCGCATTTGAAAACGAAAATCCACCTAAAAATGCTCCCCCAAGTTGTCTAGTTAACAGAATGTAAGCTCACCCCCGGTTCTATCGTAGTCGTTGTAATAATCTAGCATAGCCTGCAGAATAGGCAAAATATCGCCAAGTTTCACGGGTACAAATCGCAAAAATCTGGCTCTCTCCGCCGAATAGGCAAGTTGAAAATCCTTGGTAATGAAGCTGGCGCGGTTCATAGTCAGGTAGAACTCGAACAATAACGCCTCACCGCCATCGTGCAATTTTGTCAACTCGAAAAAGAAGACCCATTTCCTCTCTTTAGCCTGAATCTCGGTGACCAGCTCGGAGATCAACTCGTACAGCCACAACTCGCAGGTTCGCCATCGCATTGCGTACTGCATGGCGCTTGAGAGCAATGTATAGGTTTAATATAATCTATCTGATCGCTGGTCGCACACTGGTGATAGTTGTGGCGGATTTTGTCTTCGACTGCTTCCGGAAAACCTCCTGCGACCTGACATTCGCTGCGACACTCATGTGCTGGAGGTATGCCATAGAGAAAGACATATCCCGGAAAAGGTTGTCCCGGAACTTCGGCCAATTTTGCTAACAGCTCATCGAGATCAAATGACCGCCGATTTGACATCAGCAGGTCACTGAGCGTTAGCCTTACAAAGTGCTTGGGCCCAAGGTATTCATGCTCTTGGGTCGAGGCCCGCTGATTCCGCAGCTTCCTTTCAAAGTATGTTCGAGCTTCCATTAGGGCCCTGCGAATCTGCTCGCTATTCAGGGGGTTCTCGCTCTTTGGTAAAATGGTAAGGCATTTTCGTAAGGCTTGTGCGGGTATCGTGAAGTCGGGTCTCGCTGCAATCTTTTCGCAGGAAAATCCCAAGATCTTTCAGATGGAACCAGGCATAGCGCGAGCCGTCCAGGATCACGATTCGATAGGTGAGTCTTTCGATGAACAGCTTTCCTAACTCCTCAATGTTCTTGATGTTCTGGTCGAGAAGTTTCAAGATTGCCCAATGAGGAAGGGTGGCACGATCTGTCTCGACCAGCCATTGCACACCAAAATCTTGAGCGAGTCCTTGTTGCCACGAGTCTAGCCCAATTAAGGCTACAAATCGCTCATACAGATCTGGGTGAGTTTCATCCAATTTCGTATGCCCTTGTTTCTTCCAGTATACCTCCATCTCTTGGGCACAATGGTATTGGTCCTCAATTTCGAGGTTACACAAAATGGCGAGAACTTGATCGCACAGTTGTCTTCTGATCTTGTCAAAGTTTTTGCGGTCAGCCCGAGCCACCCGTATGTCCCGCATGATCACAAACTCCGGATCAGTCGGATCCTCGGTGTAATGCAGATCTGAGAATCCTAGCGAATAGTTTTCGAACGTGGTACTTATCCCGAGCTTTTCTTTCAAATCGAGCAGCAGCCTTTCTCGTGGATCGATCATCACCTGTTCGACGACAGGAAGCGGTCCGGAGATACAGAAAGAATTGATAGATAATGCTGCTGCAGGAGGTTGAATGTATTCAAACTGCGCTGGAGCCTCCCGCTTCTGCCCATCCAATCCGATAGGCGGAACAAGCAGCTTTCGATGCGGATTGGGGTCTGGCTTGATCTCGAAGCCATTGAACTCCTGAAATACCAAATGGCTTTTCGGTTTATTTGATCTGATGATTATATGATATAATGCTTATCGAATTGATCTGTTGAACCTACCGTAGCCATTGCTTTGCACAGCGCTAACGATTTCTCCACGCCAAATCGTTCCTTGACATTTTCTTTCGTGCATCTGGCAAAGGATGGAAGTAGTAATCTAGAATCTGTTCGCCTACCCGTCTACCAGCTTCATCATGGTATCCAAATATGGAAGCTTATTCGCAAATATCCCGTCAATATCTTTATTTCCAGGGTTACTAAAGCGTTGCCTTTGATAATCGAGTTTCTAATTAAAACCTTCGATTTATCATATCGAGCACCACCCAACCACCCCCATAAATATCACATTTGTAAGCATCCTAAAGAATTTATAGTTCTCAAAATTTTTTCGAAACCTCAAGACTGGTCTCTTCCTCATTGAGCACCTCCGGTGCCATATATCCTTTGGTTCCGCCTCGCAAGTTAGAACCGTCTTTCAGGTCACGAACTATCCCAAAATCACCCAATTTGACGATGTAGTCATCGCCGTGTACAAATAAGCTGAAACTATCGAATCCCCGCTATTGAACCTACTTATCCGGTTTGACATCCTGATGTACGATGCGCTTGCTTTTAATATATTCAAGGGCCGTGAACAGTTCCGTGGCCCATTTTGCAATTGTCGCAACCGAATAAACCAGTTCTTTATTTCCCAAGACTAAAAAACCCTTTGAAGCATCATAAAACAGTACTACCTTGCAACAGGGAACCATGCTCACAGTACTCCATAAAAAGCAAAAATTCATCCCGGTTGATTTCTGGATGATTATCTGGGCAGTCGTAATATCTGACGACATTTTCATGCGAAAGTTCCTAAATATCGCGATAGATTGTTTTAATGTAATTGCCTTCAATATTCGGAGTTCCTTCAAATAATTGGCATAATCATGCGTTAGTAGGGCTTTCTTCATAACGAGTGGCCTATTTCGGGAAATAATTTTTCGAGCAAAACAACTCACGGATCGCCTTCGAGGAGCCAGACTTCGCCTTGTCCCCCTTCTCCCAGCCTTTTCATGTTTTGTAGTAAAGTTAATTGAACGGTTTTAGCCTCAAATTTGTAGGTCGGTAAATAGTACTGAGTGTTGTTGAAATTACAAAGGTCTGCTTGGTGAAACACTAGATGGCGAGGTGGCCAATCCCTTGCAGCAGAAAATTCGCTATTGTTCGGCATTTGATCTCGGGGACGAGAAAATTTCCGGATCCATTGGAATCGGGTCGAAATGCCTGTGATCCACTACACCAAAACTTTATCAACAAAAA